AATCGCGTCAACGCTACCGTTTCCATTATGGTAGCCACCACCATTATTTAAACCCTTGCTTGGCAGTTAGTGCCTTTGTCTGCTGGCAAAAATCTAATTGGTTGCAAGTAAGTCTACAAAGTCAAGACTCATTTAGATGGTTCTTTAAAGTGTTACAAAGCTTGCTCAGTGGCTAAAGGTTTCTCTCAAAAGTAAAGCCATGATTATGAGGAAATCTTTGCCACTACAGCCAAGATGACCACTATCTTACCTTGATCTCTGTGGCTATTGTCCATTGTTGGCCTCCCTATCAAATGGACGTTCAGAATGCCTTTCTTAGTAGCCATCTTTGAAAGGAGGTCTACATGTGTCCTTCCCCTGGTCTACCTCATTCTTTTGAACAAGTGTGTCATCTTCACTGTACCTTGATCTCTATGGCTATTGTCTATTGTTGACCTCCCTAACGATGGACGTTCAGAATAACTTTCTTCATGGCCATCTTTGAAAGGAGGTCAACATGCGTCCTCCCTCTGGTCTACCTCATTCTTCTGAACAGGTATGTAATCTTCACCGTGCACTTAATGGTATGAAGCAATCTCCCCATACCTGGTATGACTGCTTTAAGACTACTATTACTCAACTTGGATTCCATCCTAGTGCCTATGATTCTGCTTTGTTTCTTGTTCACACCTCTGCTAACTTTGTTGCTCTATTGCTTTATGGGGATGACATGATCATTATTGGCTCTAATCCTTCTTCCATCACTCTAGTCAAGCAACATTTGGTCTGTACCTTCAAGATAAAACATATAGGTCCTTTGCTCTATTTTCTTGCTATTGAGATTGCCTTTCATCCCAAGGTTTTCTCTCTCAAAGCCAAGTATGCTAATGAGGTTATCCACCATGCCTCTTTCTCCGATAATAAGCCTTTTGACACCCTGATTGAGCTTAATGTGAAGCTCAACAATACTAATGGTGTTCCTATGGATGATTCCACTTTGATCGAGAATTAGTGGGTTGCTTGGTCTATCTAACTGAAACTCACCCTGATCTTGGTTATGTTATTCATGTGGTCAGCTAGATTTTTCTGCTCCTCGGTCTACGCACCGGGCTTCTTTAGTTCAAATTTCAAGGTACTATCTTCTAAGAATTACTGTTATCCTCCATGACTTCTTTACATCTTTTAGACTATGTTGATTCTAATTGGGATAGTGATATCACTGATCGCAAATCTACTTTTGGCTTTTATATGTTTCTTGGTGATTCCCTCATTTCCTGAAAAAGCAAGAAACAAACTATCGTTACCCATTCTATTGTTGAGACTATGTATTGTGCAATGACTCATAATAATGCTGAGATTGTATAGCTACTATCTAATTTGGGAGTTTTTGTCTTCTTCAAACTAGCTCTACTATAACAACAAAAGTGTCATCCAAATTGCCCAGAACACTGTCTTTCATGAATGGACGAAACACATTGAGATTGGTTATCACTTCGTCCATCATCTTCAGTCTAAATCTATTTATCTTTCCTTTATCATTTTAGTTCAGCAACTTGCTGATTTCTTCACTAAGACTCACACTAGTGCTCGCTTTCAATTCCTCCTTGGCAAACTCGCGATATTTTTTGGCAAAATACATTCGAGTTTGAGTAAGGGTGTGAGAATATTGCAGATAGTCTAAAGATATTATATATATTCTATAGATATAGTAAATATTCTAAAAATATTGTGTAAATTATGTAGATAACACAGATATTTGAATTTATTGTATATATTCTATAGATATTGTCTCTGTCATCATAATCTTATGATTCACGATTCGATTCACAATTTATGTAAAATTGATACGAATCCATGGGTAAATCTATTTTGAAAGTAAATAATTGGTAAATCGCACGATTCACAATTCGATTCATGCAATTCTTGAAACTATCGTGTCCGGGATATTTTGATTATGTTGTTCTCTCTTTTTAGTGAAAATTATAATATAACTTCTAATAGTATTTAGTACGAAAATAACAAATATATATACATGATTTATTATTATTTTGGTGATCAGAGAGTTTTTAATAGGATCTAATCAGATTCAATTAGACCTAACATGGTTTTAATCTTTTCTTATTTTTTTTCTTAAAAAAAATCATAATATATCTTCTAAACATGTTTAAAGTTAAAGTAACTTGCACCATCAATATTGCTATTTTATTGAAATAAATATATACATATATATATTTTTTTGTGATAACTCGGTATCCGACTCATTGGACCGAATAATTCGGAGAACCAATCCCACTATCCACTTGTGGGGGTCCCAATTAAAATCGGGGCGAAGCCCCATATGGACTAGTCCTAGGAAATTGTTTGCACGTATGAAATTTTGAACCTAAGACCTTGGAGGGAGCACAACCCCCAGGCCCAGATCTTAACAACCAAGCCAACCCCTTGAGGTTTATTGAAATAAATATAGTTTGATATTACATAAGTGTATTTGGGCCGTTAAACCTAATGGTTCCACAAGTTCTTTACTTAGTTTTTTTTTTTTTTTTTTTAAATAATAATAAGCATGCATACCTTTTATAATGTTTAGGTTTTAAAATAAAGGATTTCAATTAATTCTTTCTTATTATTAGTTCATTGTTACTTGAAAAGATACATAAGTTTTATTGTCCAAATATCATCATTCAAAACAACATTTTTATTAATTTAAGTCTAAATATTTCATATTTATAAGATATATTTAACATCTAAATGTGTAGATATGTTTTTCTAAGTAATTTAAAAAAAGTGACCGAATCTTTACAATTCACAATTTGATTCAATTCGTGATTCGGTTCGATTCCCAATTTGACAACTATGGATATTGTAGATATTCTGGAGATATTGAGAATATTTGTAGATGTTCTCTTAGACAATCTATATTCCGTAGGTATCGTAGATATTCTAGAGAAATTGCGTACATTTTATTCTGTTAATATTCTAGGAATTATGCTTATTTCCTTATATTGGGGTTAACCTAGGTTACAAATACTGATGTAATTCTTCTATATTAAACACACAATTGAATATACAATTTCTCTTTTCCTTATAAACAAATAGCAACATTCCTGAAAGTTCAAATATCATCATTTCAAAGACATCAAGAATATTCATCATACCTTTTAAACATAAAACTGATAGAAACAATACATAAATCAACATCTCAATGCAAATGTCTAAACCATTGATGCACATGAAAATAATGGCAGGTTCTAATGTCACATCCAAGAGCAAGTCATATGCAATTGCATGGGGAATGTACAATAAAGCTGCTTTTATTCAACAGGAGAAAATAGAACCATGAAATGGATCCGAAAAGATCGCATGACTCTATGTAAAAGAAGTGAAATATTTCTTGATTGCAATATCTAGAAAGTTGGAAGGAATGAGTACGTCAAATATCTTTGTTGCCTTCGAAACAAATTAGAATTAGTCTAGAAACACATGTGCGCACACACAAAACCCTAAGAGTAGAGGCAGAGCAGGCAACTCCCTGCAACAGTCCTACTTTTGAAACAGGCAACTCCCTGCATACAACAAGTCTAGTAGACTAGTGGAGTTCACATTTTGTTTGACAGGAGTTGAGGATTGGGCTCTTTTTTTAAAAAAAAATTGGCTGCATATTTGGATTGGGATTTGTGTAGGGATTGGAAATGGGGAGGGAAATGTGAATGACATGTAAGCTAAATTTATTTCACATTTCCCTCTTCACTTCTCTCCACAAATCCTCAACCAAATTGATGATCCAAACATGGCCTTTAGTGCCATTCTTTAGGTCAAAACAATTCTCCATCACTAACTTTGTTCATGCATCATCACAAAATAATTTACACTAATGAAACCTCAACAAATTCATTTTCCTAGTTTCATTAATGAAAGAAAGAGAAGCTTCATATCAACCATGAAACATCGATACCTGTACGAGACGAAACATCCTCCTCAATAGCAGATTCAATATATTGCGCATCACCACAAGCATATAACTCTATCAGGGAAATCCCTCCACTATTTGTACATGTGCCTGCGGTTGCCAAAGCAGGAAGTTAACACAGAAACTACAGGAAGTGACTACAAACTAAAATTTAATGCAGCAAAGAAGTACATTACCATTTGATTGTGCTGAAAACCCACCAGACCCACCATTGGTGTAAGTACTCAGTTTTGTTTCTTTCTTCACACAAGATTCAATGGGTAAAATCTCATCAGATGTTGGGATATCAATAGCAGCGTCTGCAATAGACACAGCTGAGCTAACAGTATTGTTACAAAATTTTCCTCCTCTAGAGTGACCTTCAGCAACTTCAACTGAAGCTGAGCATAATGTCATAACTTTGTGGTCACATACTGCTTCATGATTATTACTTAGTTGGTGGCACAATGAAGCCCTTATCAAATCTTTTGACCCAGGAGTGATTGGCCATAACACTGCAGATAACGGATGATTATTCCTCTTAGATTTTATTTTGATATCCACATTTGAATATTCGCAGGTATCTTTATCCTCATTTTTCTCTGAACACAACTCCGACCTTCCTCCTTTAATCAAGCCCAGAGAAGATGGTCGCAGAAAATGACAAACATTTTGATGTTCACTGAAAAATGAGGTATGGTCCGCATTCACACCAGCAATCATTTTTGAATCCTTAGCAACTTGCTTATCAACCTTTATCCGATCTTCGTTGATGCTTGCTTTTGGTTTCTTGTAGATCCCAAAATCGGTACATGGGTTCAGAGACAAATCAGCGACAGTTACAGGAGTCAAATCTTGTAAGACATCAGAGTATAACTTTTTGACACTTGCACCAACTGTCTGCACCTGGTCTTCAACATATTCAACTGTGTCCTGCCAAAAATATCAATTTAAATTATAATTAGAAGTTTGCCAATTCCAATGACCATCTATGGTCAGACTTGTGACTATCAAGAATGCATATCACATTAAATGCATCCATATCAGAGACACAGACCATGTTTCCACAAAGGATAAAGTCAAATCTTGTAAGACATCAGAGTATAACTTTTTGACACTTGCACCAACTGTCTGCACCTGGTCTTCAACATATTCAACTGTGTCCTGCCAAAAATATCAATTTAAATTATAATTAGAAGTTTGCCAATTCCAATGACCATCTATGGTCAGGCTTGTGACTATCAAGAATGCATATCACATTAAATGCATCCATATCAGACACACAGACCATGTTTCCACAAAGGATAATATTTAGCCCACTTGTGGGGAAAGGAAAATAGATGATAAAGAAAAATCATCTCATGAAAAGAGCATGCCCAGGGCAAGTGATAGTAATAGGAGGTTGGAAAAGAGTGTTCTGACAATAGCTGTAATTGTACTACCACTAGGAACAAATAACAGGAACTTCCCTTGCAGGGCAGCTGAAATGCAGCAAAACAATATAGGTTTACCCGATACATATCTTCTTCCAACTCCAAGCACAGGGTTTCAAACTTCTGGCATATATCTCCAACCCAGGTTATACCTTTAAAATCCGTAGTGATCATATTTTGAGAGTGCTTGTAAATGTGTGTAGTAATGTTATAATCCAGCCCCCAGATCAAGATGGCACTACTCAACTGCATAAATTCAATTGAAACTTTATCAAGGATTGAATGAAGTAAATTGGTTAAATATCATTTCCTTTTGACCATAGTGTCCTAGTGCATGTAAATTTGACTAGTAAATAAACTACAAAAAACACACACACAAAGAGCCAAAGAAAGAAAACACCACATTTTAGAGAAAAAATAGCTAGTAAAAAAATTTTAAACCTGACAACGCAATTGTCTACTTGCCAGAGTTTTAATATTTATTTATTTATATTTTGCATTTATTTAGTTATTTATTTATTTATTTTTTGTCTTTCAGCTTTATGGAAAGAACAAACACAACCACAGCAAGACCAAAGGATTCCAAACCCACACACATTCTCCCCTAGTTTGAGAAGCAATACATATAATGACATAAGCTATCACATAACTCACTGATCAGCTTTCTTCGACTGACAACAACCCAAACAAAAAAAAAGCCTTCAAGACTACCAACTCCTAGTAAATCTAACAATCCGGCAAAATAATGGTTCAATCAGCAGCTCCATTTCGCATTCAAGGGATAAACATACTGTCATGGCTGCAACCCTATGAAGCATGGGTACAGATACAAACACAACCACAGCAAGACCAAAGGATTCCAAACCCACACACATTCTCCCCTAGTTTGAGAAGCAATACATATAATGACATAAGCTATCACATAACTCACTGATCAGCTTTCTTCGACTGACAACAACCCAAACAAAAAAAAAGCCTTCAAGACTACCAACTCCTAGTAAATCTAACATTCCGGCAAAATAATGGTTCAATCAGCAGCTCCATTTCGCATTCAAGGGATAAACATACTGTCATGGCTGCAACCCTATGAAACATGGGTACAGATACAATAATATTAATTTTTAGTATCATATTATACATAAGTTCAAAGGAAGGTGAGAAACAATTCTTTAGGAGTTGGGTATTAATTTAAAAATCAATTTACTTTTTTTTCAGTGAGTGCTATAAAATTTTTATTTCAATAAGTCTAAATTGGTTGTACTGCCCTTGTGTTTTCACTTTCACACTTTTAAGTTAGTGTATGCAAGTTTCCCATAATCCAACTGTACAAAACTGTCAATAACCTATTCTCTAACCAAGGGACGGGATGAGTGACAGCCTGAAAAGTACACCGGCTCTGTTCTAACCAAATCAACCACATTAAGCACAAGGGACCAAGTGCCCAAGCCTTCCAGCACTGCTTTCCCAACCCAATCCCCACCCCAACTCCGAAGAACATCCAGCACACCCCTTGGTTGAACCCATAACCACTCCAAAGATGTGGGGGGGGGGGCGGCGGCGGGGGGAGGTGACCCACAAACGGTAGGTAATAGGACAATGAACGAGCAAGTGATCAACAGATTCCACATCTCCTTGACACATACAGCACTAGTTTACTAAAATGTGTTGACGACGAACCAAAGTATCAATTGTCAGGATTTTATCTAAGGCTGCCATCCACATGAAAAAGGCCACCTTAGATGGAATGCATTCAATCCAAATACCCCACCAAGGAAACGCCCCACCCACACCACCAATCAAAGCTCGGTAACACGAAGAGACCCAAAAAACACCCTTCCGAAAAAACACCCTTTGCTCCCTGCCAGCGCCACACCAAACCATCCTCCCCCACCCCCCAAACCTGCACACTATACAGAAGACCCAAAAGATCCACCAACTGCCCAACCTCCAAATTTTGGACTTGCCGACACAATCTAATGTCCCAAACTACAAAATCCCCATTCCTAGCAAAACAAGGCACCACAGATGCCTATCAATCAACAGCAATACGAAAACTCAACGAGAACGAAAACTCTAAAGGTTCCTCACCACACCACCTGTCATGCCAAAACCTTACCTTATCCCCAAACCCCACCGTAAAGTGAACCCGTTTCAAAAACTCCCCCCGACCCAGCCATATCCCCTTCCACAAACCCTGCCCATGTGAACCCCCCACCACGCCTGAACTACACTCCCTCCTCCCCACCCCATATTTGGCTACCACAACCTGACGCCACAACCACTCTCTCTCCCACACAAGGCACCAAAGCCACTTACCCAACAAGGCCAAATTGAACAACACCGGTCTCCAAACCCCCAAACCACCCACCTCCTTGGGCATGCAAATCCGATCCTAATCCACTAAATGATATCTAAACACCTTCCCCCCCCCCAAAAAAAAAGACTGTCCTATAAAATTTCCCACTGCAACTTCTTCAACCAATGCTCCACCGATATTGGAATCACGTAGACTAACATAAAATAGGTTGGAACACTCGACAAGACACTCTTTATCAAGGTCAACCGCCCTTCTTTAGACTAATATTATCTCTTCCACCCCACCAATCACCGTTAAACCCGCTCCAACATGCCATCCCACGCCCCTTTTGCCTTAAAAGAAGCTCCCAACGGCAAACCCAAGTACAGTAAAGTTGACACCTTACATTCCAAAATAGCTTCCAGGTTTGACACCCTATCCACATCCCCTACTAGAATCAACTCTAACTTTTTTAAATTCACCGAAGCCCCGACACTGCCTCAAAACATAGAAGCACACATCTCAAATACCCCAACTATTCAACATTAGCACTGCAAAAGATGAGCGCATCATTGGCATACAAAATATAAAAAACAACAACGGATGACGTAGATGCCAATCCCACCATAAAACCCTCCAACAGACCACCTTGCACCGCCAGAGACAACAACCTACTCAATGCCTCCATAACCAAAATAAACAACTAAGGGGGTACCGGATCACCTTGTCGCAAGCCCCAAAAAGTCTAGGAAAAACCTGCCGGCATTCAATTTCACTAACACGGACATCCACACCGTAGACATAAAAAATTGAATCCACTGTCTCCACCGCCCCCAAAACCCATTTTCCCCAAAACAGACAATAAGAACTCCCAGTTTACATTATCATATGCTTTTCCAATATCCAACTTAAAGATGACTCCCGCCTGCCCTTGTTAACTACAAGAATCAACACACTCATTAGCCACCAACACTGCATCCAAAATCTAACACCCTTCTACAAAAGCATTTTGTGACTGACATTACCCCCTTTAAAACACCCCTTGGTCTATTAGCCAAGACCTTAGCCAATAACTTCTACACACTCCACCCACCTCCTTCGGAATCAATGCAATGAAGGTTTCTTCTCAAACTGCGCAGACTAAAAAAACGGTTCCACCATCACCATTGCATCCGCCTTCAACGCTTCCCAGCAATATTGGAAAAAAGCCATTGTAAACCCATCCGGGCCGAGTGCCTTATCACCATTCATCACCCTCAACACCCCAGCCACCTCCTCTGCTTTCACCCCAAACTACAGTTTTTGCAAGTTTCTAAGAAAAAGTATACCAAACCCTACCAGAAATTCACGGAATACAATCTATAGCAAAGAAAACTCCAAAGAGAGAGGGGAAAAAAAAAAAAAACCACCACCAATTCATTCATGTTAAGATTTCAATACAAACAATCAAAAGTCACTACCACTCTAAAATCTCATCATAGATAGAAACAAATAAAAAATCAATAACTGAATTAACGAACAAAAATCAAGATACAGAAGTTGAGAAAGAACACAAAAAAATCACACATATATGTGTGAGAAAGTATAGAAAAGTTGAAGGAGAGGCACTTACGTTAGGTAAAAATCAAAACCTAGAAGCAGAACCCAGAAGAAAACTACAGAACCATTTTGGCTTCAAAGAACAACGATAAACAGAAAAAATACCAAAGAATGAGTTTAGACTTTAGAGAGAGGGAGAGAGGGAGAGAGAGACGAGAAGAATTTTGTTGATTAGGAGAACCAGAAACGTAGAAACGGAGTTCACCTGGTTTCTTTCAAGCTGTCTGTCGCTTCTCACGTGTGCAAGAATATACTTTAGAAACCTGGGATTATCAATATAACTAAAATACCTTAGAAAACTATGGTTGTGTTTAGTATAGCTTTAAATTTGGATTTGAGAATAGAGTAATTGTATTTTGAGTTATGAGTTTTGGAATTATAATTTGAGTGTGAAAAATTTATTTAATTATGAGTTTTGAAAAGAGTTTGAATTGAGTAATATGACATATGATATTTGATTCAAAAATTTACAACTCATAACCAAACACATAGCTTATAACTCTATTCAAAACTTATAAAAAAATTTAAAAAAAATTTCCAAAATATTTTTTATTTAAAATATAAAAATAACAGGTACCAAAAAAAAATAAACACGAATACTGTTCCGGTCAACCGACTGGACGTCCGGGTGAATGACCGGATAGACGTATTTTAAAAAGTGAGTGTGGAATTAATTTTTAAAAATTGTAAACAAACAGAGCATTCAAATCATGTTATGGAATCATATTTGAAAAACTCCATCAAACACATCCCAAGTTTTATATTTTTTATTTTTAATAATTTTTTTAATATTTTATGTAAATTTTTAATTTAAATATATTTAAAAAATATAATATTAAAAAAAATTAAATTCACCAAATACAAAAATATATATATATAAAAATTTCATACATTCTCATATTTTGTTGTTTTCAATGAATTTTTTAAAGATTTTTGTTTAAATTTTTTAATTTTTAAATATATTAAGATTAAGTGAATCTAAAATTTTTTTAAAAAAAATTGATTAAAATATTTTTAAAAATTATTAAAAATATAAAAATAAAAACTCGAAAACCAGTTTTTGAAAATTCAAAACCAAACAAGGTGATTTGCACCTAAATAATAATTGAATACACCCAAATTTTATTATACTCTAATATAAATTTACTAATAAGAACAATACACATTAAAGAATAAATCCTAAAATAAAATAGGATTATTTACACAGAGATTCTTAAATTATTGAGAAGTATCACTTTGACCTTCTCAATTATAAAAGTGTGACAACCCCAATGTGTATATCATTTTTTTCATACTATTTTATTGAGAATATTTGCATGATTATGTGTTTAATTTTGTAACTATATGTTTGTTTATGGAATATTTGTTAGAATATCAACTTTGAACTAGAAATTCAAAGTCCAAACGGATTCAGAAATCGAAATTGACTAATTTAATAGGCTCATTAGAATATTTAGAACCAAATGGTAAGTTTGATTAAAATTTAATTCGAACTAAAATAATTGGAATAAATCAATTAGAATTGATTATGATTAATTAGACTTGAGCTTGTTTAATTAGACTTAATCCTACTTAATTAGCCTAATCTAATCCATGATTTATATATGTGTGTTAAGCCTCTTTGAGCTCATTCTCATCATCTTGTGGCCGAAATTAGAGAGATAGAGAGAGAGAGAGAGAGAGAGAGAGAGAGTGTGTGTGTGTGTGTGTGTGTGTGTGTGTGTGTGAAGAATTGAGAAGATTTGAATGTGAAGTTTTGGGTTTTGTTTTTGGAAAATTGAAAGAAATTTTGAGTCTTTGGTTTGGTGTTTATCAAGTATTCATGTTTTGGAGAGTGTTTTTATATGTTTGAACCAGCCGTGCAAGCTTTTGGATTTAAAACTTGTGTTTTGGAACTTAAAACTCAATTCTGAAAAACTCAAAATTCGACAACTTCACTTGAGCAATGAAATCGTCGCTCAAGCGCACTTTGCATGCTCCCAATATTTTTGCATAACTTTGTAGTTAGCTCGAGCAACCAAGTGTGCACTCGAGCAAACCTCACATTTGCATTGTACTTGGCTCGAGCGTACTTTAGCACCATCCAGTACTTTTGCAATCAAGCCACACCGCTTGAGCGCAAGTGAACATTGTAGCTAGTTTTCGTGCTCCTCGGAGGGGTTTTTCGGATACGATAACCCTACAGTTCAGACTCCCATAGTTCTGAATCTAGTTTCACAAGTGCAATGTGAAATAAAAAAACACAAATAAAAGTCCAAATCTGACAAATCTTTAGAAAATCCGTTTATCATCAGAGATGCTAGAAATGGACTGCATTGCAGGATTTCAGAGTCACCCCCTAAATATTTTTGAAAAATTTAGGAAACCCGTGACTCGTGCCAAAGGCCACTTGTCCACCATAACCAAAGGCCACTTGGCTCGAGAACTTAAGTATGAGAGGGAAATGTCATGAATTAAGCACACCCCTCACCCGATCAAAGATTGGCCTCTACTAATCATGATGTAATTCTTATCAACACTATATGCTCTTGTTATGATTTATTAATGCTAACTTACTATGTGAGGCACACAAGTATAGACTATTTCACCCACTTTAGAATGCTTTGATTTCATGTTTGTTTGAAAAGAGTTTTGAATATGTGTTACTTGAATGAAAAGTAAGCTCATATGTACATTAATCAAAGTCGTTCCAACTTAAGCGAAATAGCCTTCATCCACAAGCATTCAAGAGGTATTTCAAATAAGCACTTAGCCTCATGATAGTATGCTTGATATGGAAACACAAACGCACATGCGATATGCTAAAGCAAAAATACTCACCTAGTATTCAATCGAGGCAAGTCAAAGAAAAGAAAATAATTAGAAAAAATGCATGCTCCTAATATGCAAAGTGACTAATGCAACACATACAAAATGCAACTACTAGGTTCGGCTTATTTATCATGCCATATAGATTAACTCAAAGCATGCGGTTGCGCACGTATTCAAGTAAGTAGAATGATGAACCGAACCCAATGCACACAAAAATGGATACAACGCATGATAATGATATGAAATCAAAAACATGATACTATATGCAATCATGATAAGCAAGTAAATAAAAGGGACAAAAAAATAGGGGTTGAAAGACATACAAAATATTACAAGTTTTCCCTTGCAAGAGGGTCCGAATCAATGTCCTAATTAACTAATTATTACAACACAATTGAATGAAGTAAACTAACTAATTAACTATTACAAATTCGAATGAAAGAAAAGCAACTAATTAATTACAACATTGAATCTAAAGGCCACAAGCTAATGGACTTGAACGGGAGGCGAGGAACTACATGTGCACAATCAAGAACATCCTCTGGAAACCTTTCTGTTTGCTGCCAGAATCTGCTCTGTTTGCAGTCAGAAAATGATTCTGTTTTGGCCTCAGATTCTACTCTGCTCTGTTGTAAAATTGCCACTATTTGTACAAAATAGGTGGTCGGCTGACCATGAAAAGTGATCGGCTGTACAGAATGATGGCCGACTGGCCACTATTTCTGGGAAATACCCTACTGCAACAGAGCTGAAACAGAGCAAAAACAAAGTGTTTCCAGGAAATGTTTATCCTCTTTGTCCTTCCCTATCATGAAGATGATCAAGGGAGGAGCAAATCCGATTCTCAAATCATCAATCATTACAAATTTGTTGCATGATGATCTTAGAAGCAACAGGACAAGAGCTCAATAAATGAAACAAAAGATAAACAATACCTCCTCCCTATCATGGAGTTACCTTAAGGGAGATGGTAGACTTGCCTCATGAATCATCAAACATCACGACAATAGTATGCGATGATTCAAGACGCAATAAGTTCAGTATAACGTTCGACTAAACCTAACCAAATTTTATTATCTTTTTACCTCTCTTACTCCAATTTTATTAGCCTTTTTTTTTTCTTTACCTTTTCATTTTCTTATATTTTCTTCTTTTTGTCCAAAGGTGATGATTAGGTCCACTAAATCCAAAAGTAATAAAGGATAATAAGCATTACTTGACTCGAGAAATGAGCTTTTCAAGCCCTTTTCTACAAGGAAAATTACAAAGGAAAAATCAAACCCATTTACAAGCGATAATGAATTCGAAGTCAAACTCGAAATGAGCGATAATGACTCCAAATCCAAACTCGATAATGAGCTATAATAAATCTTTCATTTATGATTTCCAATGGTCTAACTAGAAAGTGAATCCCTTAGAAGTAATGCACTGGCAATAAATAGAAGTATCAAAAAAGAGATCATGTTTAGCATAAGAGAGATGTAATGCCTTGGTAATGAACCTCCGAAGAGATTAAACCATTTAGCATGAAGGGTCTCTTTCTTATGCCTTGAGCGGTAATCTTTTGTTTGATACAACTCTTAATTAAAGAAACAAAGAAATGAGGGAGGTTGTAGAGGGCTAATGAAAGGTGGGTGATTATAATGGTGTGAATATATATATATATATACGAAAGCCATAAAAAAGAAGGAAATGGCTATCAACAAATGGATTGGAAGCTATGGCCTACACCAAATCCATGAGGACTTACAACAACACAAGTATAATATGCAAAGCATAATTTAACACATTAAAAAGCACTGAATCAGCACAAAAATAGTGCTGAAAATCAAGTTTTAGATGTGAAAAAAGTGAGCAAAAATGGAACAAAACCAAGGGGTTTCAACCAACCAACAAGCCTAAGGAAGGGTAACCCTTCCTTTTTTTTGTAACTTTAAATCATATATTTCAAGCCTCAAAACACTCTGAAAATAGAGAGTAAACACAAGGAAAAGAGAGAGAAAAAAAGGGTGAAAAAGCTCAAACATTACCCCTTAAAGAGAGGAAGAGCTTCCTAGTTCACAAACCATAAGTTAAGCACTCTCAATGAGCTAAAATTATCTTCAAGAACCTCAGCAAAATCCTCAAGTTTAGGCTTAGAAGGTGTATGTATATTGTAAGAGAAGAGGGACGTGTGTTGGACAAGTTATAGCTTTTGGCCAAAATTTTCCAATCCTAAACTATGAAGGGGGGGCTTGTATTTATAGAAAAACACCATCTTATGTCGGAAATATCTGTAACAAGACGGCTGGTGCAAGACATGCACATAGAGACAACTGGTTGCTGCAAAATATCTACATACGCTAAACATGGCCAGCTAACCATGAAGGAGGACGA